CCCTCTGGTAGGGGCTCCCTGGCTCCCTCTGCCAGATCTGGGTGAGAATACCCAAGAGCTGCCCTAGGATTAGCGCCAAAGGAGCCATGTCAGCCACGCCTGCCCAGAGTCCGCCCAGTACTCGCAGCACCCATGGGGCGCTCTACGCCTCCTGACCTATACCACTCCCATGGCCAAAGCTGCCCAGCATCTTACCCAGCCTCGAAGGGGACCCCAGGTGGGCACGCGGGTGCACAGGTCCCTCAGGACCCGGATGACAATGACGCACGACTTCAGCCCATTGGCTCTGGCCTAGAGGAAGGAAGCACAGGCATTAGGCCGAGGCTGCCCCTGAGTACGAGGAACACAAGAAAAGCACGAGTCTCGTGGTGCTGCTTTGCCAAGGGTAACTGGGAAAGGCTCACGACCGTCGAGCAGGTATGCAGCAACAACACGGTCAGGTGTCCAAGAGGAACGTTACCCTTAACACAAAGCAGCAGCAGCCCACCTACTCAGGCGCCCGCTCCTGGGGGGCGTCAATCTGGGGACGTGCACTCCTTTAGCCACTGCTCGGCCCCAGGGGCTAAGTTTGGCACGGGTAACATCAACGTTAAAGTGACATCGTGGTCAAAGTTAGCCGAGTTAAAACTGAGGCATTCGCTACCGAAAGACAAATAGAAGAACAAAATGCAAACCTGGAACCACTTGGCGTGTCGGAGGGACGCCAAGGCAGCAAGGCATTTCTGCCTGTCCAGAACGTCCGGGGGGTCGTTGACTGATAGCGTTTCTATTCATGGGTGGAATAAGAAGACAAGGCACAGTTTGACCAAGGGGTTTCTGTCAGGTGGAAAGGGGACGTGGCAGCTTCCTAAAGGGCAGCTGAGCTCCCAGAGCTGGATTCGTCTCCACCCTACCAGGGAAGGAGAATCCAGAGTGCGTGCAACTCTGCCTGCCCTCAGAGGGAACGGTCAAAAAAGGAGGTCCCTCCAAAAAGCCCAAAGAAACAGAAAACAAAAAAAGGAAGCAGGGAGTACTTCCAAGAGGACCCACCTCATGGGGCAGGGGACGGGGAGACAGGCAGGTCCTATCTTGTAAGCGACCATTCCTCTGCTCCTCCCCGCTCCCCCAATGAACAAGCCAGGCTTAGTTTCCATAGGGAAAAAAGGTGGGGGGAGTAGAAACGAACTCCCCGTTTCCACGTCAGCCCTGAGGCATCTGTAGCCTAGGGAGCGCCTCCGCCCCCCCGGGAGACTGCCCTAGCCCCAGCCCTTGACAGAGAGAGTCCTGTTGGTCAAAGGTCCAGCGTCCCTAACCTGAGAAACTTGAAGGACTTGGCGTTGTGGTTGGAATCGGACGGGGGAAGTCAACCTATGCTGCAGCTAATCGGGACCGTTCTGTCTTTCCTGCCAGCTGCCTTTTGGGTTTGGGTAAAGCCTGGGAGAAGGCTCAGGAGGGCCCCAGGTGGACTCCGAATTGTGGAAGCGCCACCAGTGGTGTAGGCACAAAGGCTAGCTTTGCAAACTGTACTACTGCTGAAAACTTTATTCAAACTCTGCACCATCAGCTCGATGGCGTGAGCCACTCCCGGGCCTGCAGTGCTGACAGCAGCCGATGAGCAGCCCTGGGCTCCGCTGCAGCACAGGCTGTCTGCCTAACTCCGGCGAGGAGCTCGCACTTGAGCCATGTGGTTGTCTTGCAGTTTAAAAGCCCTACGCGTCCCAGGGACACACTTTTCCAAGGCCAGAGAAGGGCTCAACAACAAAAAATAAACAGGCGCAAAGCTCATGTTTGAGAACACTCACGGATTATGATAAGCCGAAATGGTGCGGTCCCCAATGAGAAGTGCTACTCACTTTTAGGGCACCCACTGTGCCAGAGTCCTCAGTACTCAAAGCCCTCAGGAGCTGTGATCTCCGAGTAAAGGAGGGCAGTTCTACACCGGGCTGCTTTACAAAGCAGTCTAAAACCGAATAGCACGTTGGACATGGAGGGACAGCAGGTCCCCAAGCCCTGCCGGCCACTCTCGGCCTTCCTACCTCCAGCTCCCGCTTTCTCCATTTCTTCTCTGACAACGGGGGATGTCAGGTGGATGGTCAGGGACAATGGAGGCTCCTTTGTGTTTTTTATCACAATTGCGGCATCATCCACAGATTGGAGTATTTCATACTTGTCTTCTGTTACAGCCTAAAAGAGAAAAGGCAACTTTCAAAACACTGTCTCAAGGTAATCAACACTGCGCTCTGCTCCACAGGATCCTGCGAGCGATGACCCCACTTCTGGGGGCGTGATGAACTGAAGTGTCTGCATCACAGCAGGCAGGGCCACCCTCTAGCCGGCAATTTCCTGGCTACCCCAGTGAGGGGCGACTTAACTCTGCAATGTAAGAAGCAATATCCACAGGGAGCTTTAAAACTGAAGAGGAAAAGGCCTGGGGTCCAGGCGAGAGCAGGGTGTGAATCTTCCTCTCCTCACTCTGTAGCTGCTAACTGGAGTGAGTGAGGTTTTAGGGCCTAGCCCACAGCGCAGTGGCTAAGTGCTGTGCACTGGGAGCAAATTTCCACATGGCTGACAGCATTCAGACCCTGAACTCGGCAGCCTGAGAAACACGCCAGGCAAGTGTGCGTGCACGTCGATAACTGACTGGGGTGAGGAGCAGAGGAGGGATGTGCACACGTTGGCTCTTTGGCAATGTTACAAATAAGGAATGAGGTGTCTGATTTGTAAAAGGGACTCAACGACATGACCTGCACCCTGAGCCAGCATCCAGCCACCAGACAGCGGGGAGCGAACCCCGCGTGGTAGATGGCCGGCCTCCCACGAAGCACACGCAAGGTGGTACTCGCTGCAAGTGCTGCACTGAAAGGCCTTCCTGACAGTCTAACTTGAGCTTTCTTCTTTCTACATGAAAAAGGAAGGACCCTGCATGTCCCACCCTCCTGCCTCAGACCCTGGAATTCCAGGTGTGCACCTCTGAGCCAGCTTTTAGGTGGGCCAAGAATCGAGCCCTGTGGTTGGCCTGCAGAGCCCCAAGAGCTAGTGCTGGGCCTGCTTCCTTCTGTATGCCAATGTAGACGACTTGATGAAGGCATTTCAAGCTTCGTTTTTGTTGTTGTTATTACAGGAAGCAAAGTAAGTATCACGTTGGAGGGGGAAGAAAATGAAATGAGAACTGTAAGCTGCGATTCTCAAGCTCAGTGCGACTGACCTCCTGGGCAGGACAGGTGTTGGCTGAGGGCTGCTGCTGAGTCATCATTCCGCAGCCCTGCCCCTGGGGGGCTACAAGGGCCCACTCCCCATCCCGGCTCCAGACAAATGTCCTCTGGAGGAAAACCACTCCCATTAACCACTCTCTCAAACGATAGTAAGACCTACTATTTTTACCTCTAGGGACTGACTTTTTTTTAACACTATTTCTTAATTTTATTTGTTATTATTATTTTTTTTAATTTAACGAAAGAGAGCAAGAGAAGGGGAAAGTGAGAAAGCCACCAGGTCTGGGACTCAAACTAACGGTCAGCCATATGGAAGTCCAGCACCTTAACCACGATGCCACCAAGTGGTCCAGGAACTGACTCTACACAATTTCTTTCTCCTTTAGAAATTCCTACACACTGATTTGCTTTACTTACTTTTTACTTACAAGAATAAACTGAAAAAATGACCTAGGAAGCCAGCGAGTAGCACAGTGTCTGTGCCACCGGACCAACGTGGGTGTGGGATGAGTCCCAGGTCTGCGTTCCAGGACCTCAGACAAGAGGCCTGTGTACCCACAACAAGCTGGGATGGGGTGGGCCAGCGAGTGCCCTGCTGGGGATGCACTCTCTGTGTCTCAGGAAACTAAAAAACTTGTGGGGAAAAATTATTACCAAGACATCTTTACAGCTTTACCCTAAATAGCTTCTCAGAAGTACCCAACATGTGGCATTAGAGACATAATTAGATTCTGATCTCTGCCCTGAACCACCGCAATTGGCTGCCGCGCCACAGAACACAGATTACGTATGAACGTGGGCTGCGGCCTTCTTCCTAAGGAGTGAGGCTTAGGGGTCATTTTCACTTTCTCCTGCTGGTTCTGTAGCTGCGTCCAAGGCGACGGCTGCCTGAAGACATGGCGCAGGGCGAAGTCGCACAGAGGTTCTGATGCCTCCAAACCCCAGCAACACCCCGAGGTCAGTTAGTTTCTCCGCGGCCCTGCACTTCAGTCTTATCACCCGTAATACTCAGAGGACAAGATAATACCAGGGAGGAGCTCGTGCAGCTTTGGGTCTGGCCTTGTAAGTGCTCTAGAAATGCCCAGAGCGGGCTGGACGGCGGCTCAGCAGTAAAACCAACACTATGAGGATGACTCACACGGGGAGCTGAGCTTGCATCCGGAGACCTCCTAAATGCTCTGGGCATGGGTGGGCCCATGACCCAGAACTGCAGGGGCTGGGAATGGACTGCGTGTCAAGAGTCTGTTGAGGAGGGATGATGTATCTCTCTCTTTCATAATAGCTTTTAAAAAGTAACAGTAACGGGGGCCAGCAGATGGCATAATGAGTTAGTCAGTGATTCCAGTCCCAGACCCAGACCTGGCATCTTAAACTCACGCCAGGTGTGTGTGCGTGTATGCCCAAGATTCTGAGAAGTGAATGTAGGAGGAGGAACTGCAGCATGGCCATCCCCATGGGGGGTGATTTCTTGTCTTTTATCTCTCTGGCAAGCATACGTGACCTAGAGCAAAAAAAAAATCTCTCTTAAAAAAAATAGTAACAGTGGTGGGGATGAACAGGTGGCCTAATGGCTACGTTGCTGGACTCCCATGTAGTTGACCGTGGTTCAAGACCTGGGCCCAGTAGCTTAAACTCACGCCGGGAGCATGTGTGTGCATGCCCAATATGCCGAGAGAAGAACGGAAAAGGGATTGCAGTGCGGCCATTCACAGAGGGGTGATTTCTCACTTTCTGTCTTTCTCTTTCTGGAGAACGCATCCACTCTATAGCAAAAACCTTTCAAAAAAAAAAAAAACTAACAGTGAAGCCAGCAGGTGGCATCGTGGTTGGGAGCATTGGACTCCTGCACAACCAACCACGGTTCAAGTCTTGGACCTGGTAGCTTTCTCTCTCTCCCCTGCCCCCAATCAATCAATAAGTAAGGAACCAGCAGATGGTATAATGGCTATGTCACTGGACTCCCATGTAGTTGACTGCGGTTCGAGTCCTGGTCTCGGTGGCTTAAACTCACGCCAGGCTTGTGTGCATGCATGTCCAAGATCCCAAGAGGAGAAAGGAGAAGGGATTGTAGCAAGGCCATCCCCCCTGGGGGGGGGTGATTTCTCACTTTCTGTCTGTCTGTGTCTTCCTGGCGAACACATGCGCCCTATAGCAAAAACCTCCCCCCCAAAAAAAAGATTAAGAAAATAAAGTTAATAAAATATTCTTTAAAAAAAAAAAAAAAAACTATCAGAGACCATTATGTAATACTTTTATTTTTTTTTAAAAAAGAGCTTTTTAATCAGAGCATGAGAGGAAAAAAGAGTGAGAAAGCAAGCTACCAGGTCCGCAACCTGAATTATGGTTAGCCAGGTGAAATCCAACGCCCTCAACCACCACACCGCCCGCTGGCTTATAAATAAGCTTTTTAAAAACACTATCTACAGGGACCAGCAGTTAGTATAATGGCTTTGTCGCTGGACTCCCATGTAGTCAACCGCAGTTCGAGTCCTAGACCTGGCGGCTTAAACTCTCGGCGCACACGTGTCGTGCGCGTGCCCAAGATCCCAAGAGGAGAAGGTGTGGCCATCCTAACTGTGGGGTGATTTCTTGCTTTCTGTCTCTGTCTCTCGGGTGAGCGCACGCGCCCTATGGCAAAAACCTCTCACATACACACACAAAAACAAAAAGTAAAGGGAGCCAGATCCTCTGTGACCAACTGCAGATTAAATCCCAGCTGTAGACACACCAGCTGTGAGTGCATACATATGCCCCAAATCCTGGCGAGATGGAGGAAAAGAATTCTACATTCAGGCTTGGATCAGGGATGAAGAGTTAGAAACTGCGCTACCTCTTCTACCTCCACGTCATACACGGAGTATGTGAACTCTGTGTGTCATGACCACAGGCTCATGCAGCCTAGGGCTGGGTGGGCACTGGCCCCTCAGTAGCCAGCACTGTCTCAGGTGCCACTCTAGTGCCCTGCCTTCTCCCTGGTGGGAAGACCTAAGCAGAGCAGGAGCGAGGGTGAGAGAGGGGGGCTTCCTGGTGCCCTGCACAAGCCGGCCTTCTCCCTCAGCCCCACACCCTCCACTAGCATGCCCTGCCCACCCCGTGGTCACACTTACAGCAAGCTGGATGGCCAGGTTGTCGGCCACCTTGTCCAGAAGGGCAGTTGTGGGCTTCTCCTTACACAGCAGCACCAGCTCCAGGTCCAAGTCCCCCTTGAGCAGAAGGCCCTTTGCCACAAGCCCAACCCGCATCACACCCCGCAGGGTTCTGGTAATGTGCTCCGTCTTCTGTTCCCTGAGGGATGGTTCAAAGGTTCAGTGGGGGGTTCAGTCTGGCCAGATCCCAGAAGCCTCCAAAGGCTGGAGAATCACAGGATAGGTGTGCTGGGGGGGGGGGCAGTGGCTAATGACAGAAAAGGGGGGAGAATGTGACCCAACCTACCCGGCCCCTTCCTTGCTCTCGTCCTCGGCAGGCACATCCATGTTGTCGGCCTCGGCCTGCTCGCTGCCCTTCTCCTGCTCGTCTATCCAGTCGGACACAGCCTTGAGCGCGCGCTCGGTGTGCGACACCATGTTCTGCACCGCCTCCAGCTCCTCTTGTGTCGGGTAAACCGAAGAATGCTTTGCCATCACGTGGCGGTCATCGTTCACGAAAATCCGCATGGGACGCTGGAAATGCAAAACGCCAGTTTGGAGCAATGTAGCCAGCCCAGGCCTCTGAAGTGCTCTATCTGTCACGTGACGGTCAGACCACTACGCGCTACTAACGCCCAAGAAGCGGCACAGCCAAGCGTGTCGCTGGTCTCTGGGCAGTGGGAGAACACGGGGCCTTACTTTACACGTTTCTACGCTCCAACAGTCCCCCCTTATCTGCGGTGGCCATGTTCCAAGACCCACAGGGGATGCCTGAAACCACAGGCAGTACAGTACCTAACCCTACACGGAGCACGCTTTCTCCGACACACATGCCTGTGACAGCCCAGCTTGTAACGGTAATGGTAAGACAGGGCCGTCTCAACGACAGGCTGCGACTCAGGCCGTGTGGATGTCACCTAGCTCGCAGTACCGTACCGTACTCACCTTCCTTCTTCCCGTGAGGATGTGGTGATGGTACAATGCCTACGTGACGAGATGAAGTGGAGTGAATGACGTAGGCATTGTGACGAGCAACTTAACACTCACAACTTAACCACTGTTCATTTCTAGAATTTTCTGTTTCATATTTTCAGGCCGCAGAAAGCGAAACCGCGGATAAGGGGGAGACCACTGCATCTGAACTGCTCTGAAGCACATTACTGCATACCTCACTGAGTCTAATACAAACGCTAAGAGCGTCAAATGCTTTGGGGAAATTCTACACGCATCTTTGTGCATGAATGAAGAAGCAGTATTAGTGATCGAAAAGGAAACTTACCATTCTGACTTCTTTTTCTGTAGTGTCTGGAAATCAAACTTTTGCTTTTCAAATTGTGACCGATTTCCTTGATGTTATCAATACTTCAGCTATCTACAAGATCAGAAAATCTTTTTAGTTTCACGCACTCAGAGGGCGTGGGTTCGATTCTGCAGTCAGACACGTAGCAGTGGGACGGCCTCCTGCTGCTCCAGAGGGGCCCAGGGCAGTGGGCCCTTCTCCTTATCTCCCAGCCGCCACTAAGCCGAGGCACTACGGAAGTCCCTTCAAGTCCCTTCGCACTAGAACAGCTGGTTTCTGGAAGCCAGGTCTCACTTCAGGCCCACGCTCTGAATGGTTTTTATTTCGGTTCTTCTGTCTTTCCGTCATACAAAGAATGCCAATTTTTACACACATGAAACACCAAAATACAAACCTCCCCCAAGAAGTGCTACGATGCTAACTGGAGAATGTTCACCAAAACCTCGGTGTTTGGAGAAGAGAAAAAGGGGAATGAGACGTGGGGACGGCAGGAGGCCCTGAGATAGGAAGGCCGTGCCCTTGGTGCCATCGCAGACGTTACCGCCTCAAGCAGCAGGGAGACAAGGCCACTACCCTCAAGGGGCCACTCCTCTGGAATCAACTTTGGCAAGGGAGAGACGACAGGACGGATCTAGCTCCGACTAAAACCACCGCGAAATCGAAAGAACACGCTGGCTGCAGCTTACTCAAGCCGAACTCAGTGCAGTCTGTCCATGCGGGATCTTCCAAATACGGAGCTGACACTACGAAAGCCATCGCGCACCACTCCCGCACCGCTCCGACCCAGCACTGGCCCCGAAGGTCTAAACTGGCGACACCGGAGCCAGCACCGCAGGCAGACACTTCGGGGTAGGCGCTACAGGAGCAGCCGAGCAGGACCTTCCTACAAGGCTTCAGGACTGCCTAGCAATTCTAAAGTTTCCTGACTCTCTCTCTGGTGAGTGTACATGCCCTGTAGTTAATTATAGTAATGATGAATAAAGGTAAAAACAAAACAGAACACTAAGGGTCCACAGGTGGGTGACACTCCTGCAGAGCTAAGCAACAGGACATGGCAGGGTCAAAAGCTTCCTGATGGAACTGTGAGCGGATGCAGAGGGGGGAAGGGTGGAGCTGGCGGCTCGCTGTTGCCTGGGCTCTCGGTCAGCTGCTGGGTCATCACCAAGTAGGACCCTCACTCAGGCCTGAGCCCGAGACACTGCCTGACCAGCCAGAAACCATGTGGCTCTGATGCACCTGCATACAGCTCTGTCCCTGCTCCGGTACAGAAATGTGCCTACCTACTTGAGAAGGAGGTCCACCTGTGTGAAGTAAGTAACAAAAAGGCCCCTGACCCTCAAAAGGGCACCCCGGAGGGGCTGGTGCTATAGCCTAGCGCTAAGTCAGCCGGATCCCCCGTGGCTGACTTCAAATCTCAGCCCTGGTGTGTTGAAGCACGTGCGCACACAGGCACACACGCGTGCGTCCACACACACACACACACACACACAGGCCCAACATTTTGACAGGATAAGGAAATAGAGAAGAATGGATGGTGGTGAGATGGCACCGGCTCGGGGGTGCTTTCTCCCTCTCTCTGGCAGAGGCTCATGCCCTCTGGAAATTTGAAAAATAAAAAAATAAAAACCAATTGTAAATAAATTTCTAAACGGCAGCGCCAGGACCTAGACCCCACCAGGCTGCCAAGGGGCTCCGTGAAGAGCGGGCGCAGGCCCGAGCGCTGCCGGTAACGGGACTGTCTTACAGGTAGTCGGGTGAGTGTGGCACCGCTGTGTTGGAAAAGAAAGCCTTTGTCTGTCTGATACATTTAAGATAACTTTATGGCGCAAATCAACGACTGGCATCTGTTCTAAACGACGCCACCGCTCGAGGAGCAGGGACTAAAACAAGATCACAAATCTCCGATGGCTGTTCAGGCCCAGGTGATGGAGAGAGATGCAGGGATTCACTGGGCATGTCTGAAAAGTCCCCTCACAGTTTTTTTCTTTTAGTCTTTAAAAAATTTTTTTTTATTTTTAAGGTTTTTTTTTTCTGTTTTGGCTATAGGGCACGTGCGCTTGCCAGCAAGACAGAGACAGAAAGCGAGAAATCACCCCCCAGGGGGGATGGCCACGCCGCAATCCCTTCTCCTCCATTCTCCTCTCGGGATCTTGGGCACGCACGCACACGTGCCCGGCATGAGTTTAAGCCACCTGGTCTGAGACTCAAACCGCAGTTGACTACATGGGAGTCCAGCGACATAGCCATTACGCCAAATGCTGGTCCCTATTTTTAGGTTTTCTATAGGGCACATGTGCTCACCAGAGAGGAGAAAGTGAGAGCAAGCCGCCAAGTCTGAGGACAACTGGAGGTGGCCATTTGGGAGGTAAAGTGCCTTAACCACCATGCCACCTGGTGACCCCCAGGAGTTTCCTTGTCAATGCCTAGTAAACCTAAGCACTTTTACCTAAGGGCAGACTAAGCTGGTAATCCAAAACGCCAGCAAAGATGAGGAAATCAGTGACAGCCTGCTCTGAGACCAGCATGGGCAACGCCCCTGAGCTCAATGGCAGTCAGTCAGCCCCCGGTGCTATCCCAATTCTTCAGCCACACAAGTCGTGGGCACAGGAAGCTGGTATCTCCGCCATCTGATCGATCCTACTTATTCAACAGGTAGTCTGCAGGGATCTCTTCCCCGCCAGGCACTGGGCTGGAAGCTGGGATCGCTGTGTGGGCAGCTGTGGCAGGCAAGCCCTGTTCCCTCTGACATAGCCATTTAGTGCACCCCCAAAAAGAAAATCCTTCCTGGGACAAGGAGATGGTATAATGGTTACATCGCTGGACTCCCACATATTCAACTGCAGTTCAAGTCCTGGACGCGGTGGCTTCAAACTCACGCCAGATGCATGTGCATGCGTGCCCAACATCTCAAGAGAAAGGAGAAGGGATTGTGGCGTGACCATTCCCCCCCACCCCCGGGGTGATTTCTCACTTTGTCTCTCCAGCAAAAATCTCTAAAACAAAACAATCCTTCCTTCTCTATGGTGCCATGAGCCAATGTCCCATTATACACTTACCATTTCCTCACCTCAAACTCCACCTCCACCACGAATATCAACTTAGAGACTTTAAACCACAGTTCCAAGTGCCAAGACCTCTTCATTCGGCCGTGGGGCCAGCACTGAATCCCACACGCCCAACTCTGTGGTTGGAGTCACAGACCAAGCAGCTTGAAAATCAGAGAGGCATGTGCCCCAAATCGCAGAAGACTAGAGGAAAAGAGACTATGGTGTGGCCATTCCCCTGGGAAGTGATCTCTCCATTTTCCTCTTTCTCTGTCTGTGCATGCACCCCCATAGTAAAAAAAAAAAAAGCTGGACTTCCATGTAGTCGACCACAGTTCGAGTCCCAGACCCGGTAGCTTAAACTCACACACACCCAAGATCCCGAAAAAAGAATGGAGAAGGGATTGCAGCATGGCCACCCCCCTCTGGGGGTTGATTTCTCGCTTTCTGTCTCTCTTCTTCTCCCTGTCTTACTGGCAAGCATACATGCCCTGTAGCAAAAACCTCCCTCCCTCCTAAAAAAAAAAAATTGCTTAAGGCAGGAAAGGAGCAGTAAACACGACACTCTGGAGCCAGCAGATGGCACAGTGGTTAGTTACATCACTGGACTTCCACATGGCTGATCATGGTCTGAGTCCTGAACCTGATCAGTGGCTTGAAACTCACACCAGCGCACGTGCATGCATGCCCAAGATCCCAGGAGGAGAATGGCCATCCTGTGGGAAGTGATTTCTCACTGTCCTTCTCACATCTCTGTCTCTCTCTCTATCCAGAGAGTACACGTGCCCTAAGGCAAAAACACCTTTTTAAAAAAACAAAAAAGACCCAAGAGGCTCTGTGAGGCTGACCCAGATGACAAGGTTCCAGGTTTGTGTCTGGTGACCCCCATAAGTACACCAGGCCCACGTGCCCAGGATCTGGGACTGGTTGAAGCTGGTGGTGCATCACCAAGCTGCTGGGCATGCTCCCCCCATTCACTTGTAGAATAAATAAATTGGGGGAGGGGGAGAGAATGGGAGAATGGCTAGTCACGCTGGCATGTACGGTATCCCTAGTTACTCCGGAGGCCGACGCAGGAGGGATGCAATTGGAGGCAAGAGGCCTGGGACCTCAGTGAGAGGCTGTCTCTTAGAATTGCAGTAGTACTGCTTCCACCTCTGTGAGGTTCTAAGTCAGGCAAAATGAATGAATGACGGAAAACCACCCAGAATAGATTGTCTCCAGAGGCTGTGGTAAGGATCACCTGAGAAGGGGCCCTAAAAGACTTGGGGGGGAGGGGGCTAGAGCAACAGTCTAGTTGTCTTTCTTTTTCCTCCTTTTGTTCTTAGTCTGCTAAATAGTGCATGAGGGAAAGTGAGAAATCAACCCCAAGAGTGGAGAGCCGTGCTGCAATCCCTTCTCTGTTCTCCTTTCCAGATTTCAGGCAGGCTCGCAGGCACGTGCCCATCGTGTTTCTCAAGCCTCCGGGTCCAAGACTTGAACAGCGTACTTGACCATGCGGGGTCCTGATGCCTTGACCACCACGCCACCTGAATGCCCCCGTCTATCTCTTGACAGTGGTTGGGTATCCACAGTGGTCAACACTCACCGAACAGCATGTGCGAAATCTCTGCATTACTTCAGAGATCTGGAAAGATGGAAAGAACCGGAAACACTGATCTCAAGTCTGTAACCTGTAGAGCGAAGACTGCCACTTTCTGCAGGTTAGTTTGAAATCCAACACAAAAAATACACTGATTTGTGCCAGAAGGGGGTGTGGTGGTAAAGACACTGGACTCCCACATGGCCAACCAAGGTTCGACTCCAAGACCTGGCAGCTTGCTTTCTCACTGTCTATCTCTGGTGAGCACACGTGCCCTACGGAAAATTAAAACTAACAATAGTAATGAAAAAATTAATTCTTGGGGCCAGCGGGTGGTATGGTGGTTGGGGCCCTGGACTCCCACATGGCTGACAGCAGTTCGAGTCCCAGACCTGGCGGCTTCCTTTCTCACTCACTCCCCTAAATCAAATTGAAGAAGAAGAAATAAATAAATAATTCTTAAAGTG